GATTTTCTGGCCTCCATTCAGCCTTCCTGTTATTTGCTGAAAGTGTACTTCTCTCTTTGCAGTGAATTACCCACAGATTTCATTTATGGTTAAAATGAAGTGTTATAAATAATATTTAGTCTGCTTTACAATATAGATAAATATCCATATAAATACCCTGTGAAATAACCCTGTATATGTATATATATATATATATATATAACTGTTATAAAAAGACGTGCTGCAAGTACTATATATACCCCCATGTACTTTTCTTCATTTGGAAACTGCTTCTCCTTATATATATATATATATATATATATATATATATATATATATATATGGTATGATACGTTCACTGACCCTTGAAATATTTGATTTTTAAGTGTCCAACTACTTCTGAGAATTTGGACCTAAATGCGGTCATGTGCATCAAATACAAAGAAATTTGAATATTGCTCCCAGAAATGTTTTTACAAAGTTGCTCTTCAGCAATTATATTGACAGGTTGTTTAATTATTAATTAAATAACCGTTGAGATAGAAACTATCATTAATAGTCTTTGTCAGAACCTGGATACAGACTCACTCAGAAATGTCACAATAAACCATTTTAGGCTCAGAACAACACAACATGGTCATTCTCCTGGGATGGATTCATCTCTGTGTTGCACACCTCCTAATCCTGTTTATGGTTACTGGAGAGCGCGGTGAGAGGCAGGGTAAACCTTAGAGAGTTGCAGACCATCAGAGACCAGAACCAGACTCCCCAAAACAAATTTATTTATTTTATTTAACCTTTATTTTACCAGGAAGTCCCTTGAGATAAAATCTCTTTTTCGAGGGAGACCTGGCCAAGAGGCAGCAGTACATTAAGACATATAAAAACACGGGACAACATAATAAAATCGAAGAACAAAGAAACTAATTTTAGATAAACTTTTACCTAGAGGCAGTTTAGAGTCAAACATATGAATACATGTTTCTGGATATTGGGATGAAGCAGAGTATGCATAGAATGGGAGAGCATGTTGGGGAAGATTCTCAGTCAGCCAGGTCACAGTCATTCCAAAAACGTTAAAAACAATCCACTGGACTTTGTTTCCAAGTTTGAAGACGTTTCTCTTCCCATCCAGGAAGCTTTTTCAATTCCAGGTGTCAGAAATAGTGCTGAGTTGCAGGCTTTATAGAGTGGAGCAAAAAGGGAGCCTTGTTTTGGTTTAGAAAACATGCTAATTGAACCGGAAGAACAGGTCCGCCCCTCAGGAATGTTTTGTTTTTAGTCGGCTCTAAAGCTTCAAACTTAACGCTATTTCTGACATTTTGATTTGAAAAAGCTTCCTGGATGGGAAGAGAAACGTCTTTAAACTCTGGAAACAAAGTCCAGAGGATTGTTTTTTAGCTTTCCTGGAGAGCATGTTAGCATCTCAGGCAAGATTTCAGCCTTTATGAGTCTTTTCTGGGAGAAAAAAGCAATGATTAGAGCACTACTGAGTTACAGGCATCCATCAGTTCCTCAGCCAAAGTTTCCTTTGCTTTTGGAGTAATACATAATTTTAGAGTAAAGGTTAACAGAAGGTTTATTAAAATGCTGATATTTCCTTTTTAATTTTGATATCAAATGAATTTGTTTAGTAAACGCTGATGAACATGTTGCTCACCTGGTTAATTCCTCTGAAACTGTTTCAGGTTACCACGTTGCGTTTGAAATCTTTGACCTGAGAGCTCCTGGTTGTCCTCCTCAGTTCATGAACATCAAAGTCCCCAAAGGGGACCCCGTCTTTGACCGCAATGCTACTGGGAAAGTGCTGCTGCCTTTCCAGAGGGCGCAATGGGACAAACAGTCCGGCCAGAGTCCCAGCAACCCCCGGATTCAGGTGCTGACCTTTATCTCTGCCAGATGTTTTATCAGGGCGTCATTTTGAATCTTTCTCTTCAACAATCAGGTGAACTCTGTGACGGCGTGGATAGATGGGAGCTCCATTTATGGTCCTTCCTCTTCTTGGTCTGACTTCCTGAGAAACTTTTCTGGAGGACTCTTGACTTCAGGGTCTGAGTGGAAGATGCCGAATCAGGGAGGGGGGAGGAACTTCATGTGGAGCGCCCCCGACCCCTCCACTGGAGAAAACGGACCGCAGGGTCTTTATGGTGAAACTTTATGCTGTTATATTTTCTGTCTCCTTCAAGTATCAGACACTT